AAAAAAATGGGTTTCCCTCCTAGATGGGGAAACTGGATAGCGCTGCTACTCTCTTCTGCCACCTCCTCCTGCTTGCTCAACGAAACGCAGGGCCAATCAATATCTCATGGTTGTGGCTTTAGGCAGGGTGATTCGCTATCCCTGCTGCTTTTCATCCTGGCGATCGACCCTCTTCACCACCTCCTTCAAGCTGCTGCAGAGGAAGAGATGATCGCTCAGCTGACAGGCCGTGGGATCAGCATGTGGATTAGCTTATACGCTGATGACGCCGTCATTTTCGCCAACCCGGTGAAGGAAGAAGTGGACACGCTGTTGTTTTTGCTCAGCAGATTCGGGGAGGCCACGGGACTGAAGTTAAACCAGGCAAAATCTGAAGTCATCCCAATTAACTGTGCTGATGTTCAGTTAACTGAGGTTCTGCAAAACTTTGGGGGGCTGCAGTCCACGTTCCCAACCACATACCTGGGACTGCCAATCTCTCCAAGGAAGCTAAGGCTGGTGCATTTCCAATTTATCATTGACCGGATACGCTCAAGGTTGGCTGGTTGGAAAGGCAAGCTGATGAACATGGCAGGTAGAAGGGTACTGGTGCGTGCTGTGTTGATGGCACTGCCGGTGTTTGCAATGACAGTACTCAAAGTGCCGAAGAAGATTTTAAAAGAGGTGGAAAAAGCAAGGAGGCAGTTTCTATGGGCACATGATGAGAATGTCACTGTCGCCAAATGCAAGGTGGCCTGGGGCAAAGTCTGTCTTCCGGTGGCCAAGGGGGGGCTAGGTTTGTTGGACCTCCATCGTTTCAGCACAGCTCTGCGCTGGTTGTGGCTCTCCTGGCAACAGCCACACCGGCCCTGGATGAACTTCCCGGCCCAAGGAGGACCTGGAGCTGTTTGCATCGGCCACCTTTGTGCACTTGGGCAACGGAAAAACAGCGCGTTTCTGGACTTGCAAATGGATCTGGGCGGTGGCGCTGCAACACGAGTTCCCATCATTGTTTCAGCATGCCAGAAGAAAAAACAGGATGGTTCATGATGCGCTGACAAATGACACATGGGTACGTGATCTCCGGCATGGCAACATAGTAGAGATTGCTCACCGGTTTTTGCAAATGTGGAGAAAGATTCAGGGTGCAGGCATTGTTCTCTCCTCCAACGAGGACCGGATCAGCTGGGTGGCAACCAGAGGAGGAGGAAGCTACTCGGCTAAGGCTGCTTACGATCTACAAATCAGTGACATTCCTCCTTCAGGAGGCAAAGCTGCGATTTGGAGGGCTTGGGCGCCAGGCACGGTGAAGATCTTCGCCTGGCTGCTCCACCAAGACAAGCTTTGGTGCAACGATCGCCTGCAACGGCGAGGGTGGCCCAATGGGTATTTTTGCGTATGCTGCAACAGAAATCTGGAAAGCTCAATACACCTTTTCTGGGACTGCCCTTTTGCCCGATCTGTCTGGCAGGCAGTGTCGCGTAGATATGGTTGCGCTGTGCTCAAAGAAGCGCGGGACGCAGGTCACAGTTCCCTCAGACATTGGGAAAGACTGACCGCACTAACGCCTCAAAGTTGCAGAAAAGGGCTAAGGTCGATGCTGTTGCTGATCACTTGGGAGTTTTGGAAAGAGAGGAACGCGTGTGTGTTTAGAGGAAAAACGCCCCAGACGGAGGATGTTCAGCGAGCCATCAAGAACACGATGGAGCTCTGGCGGGCAGCAGGAGCTCAATGCATTGAGGCCCTGTTCTGTAGCGAGATAAAACGTACGGCTCATGTAGCTGGCCTAGTTTTGGCCATTCTTAGCTCTTCTCAAACCATGATCACTTGATCGACCATGTATTTCCCACTGCTTTCTTCTAAATCAATGAAGCAGGTGAACCCGGATCTTTCAAAAAAAACCTCCTGATGTACTCAGTGTCGTGGCCGGTGATTTAACCGTGTCCACTGATTAATTGGAATGCATGGTGTTCCAGGTCAAAAAAGAATGTCAAATGTAATTCTTTCGGAAAAAATATAGTGCACGCGCAAAACCGTCTCAAGATTGGCCAGTAAACCCTCTCGCTTGCTGCTCCGTCGCATTTGATATACTCAACAGCTCCTCCTGTCTAAAAAGAAAGTTCATCACTTCTGCATTTCACGACCAATGCATTGCATTTGATATAACCATTCCCTTTCTATAGTAACACATGTTTATGGGCTCCTCGCGGCTCTTCTTTGCACTGCAACCGCCTCCGCATTATTTAACACATCTACCCTCGATCTACCCGCGCGCTAACTCCAGGTTTATAAGCGAAGCGAACTTTTCGCGTCCCTGAAGCGTAAAGGATGCCGAGCTCGCCGGCGCAAATGGCACTTGGCCGCGCGAGATCACCGGCGCTGGTGCTCGCCGCCGCCGTTCTTGGCGCGCTCTGCATCGTCGCACTCTCGGAGGATGGTGCGTGTGTTCACCTGCATGGTTTTTCTGGGGGTTTTGCGTCAGCTACGTGCGTGTGTCTTTTATCATGATCAATGGACGCTGTGATGATCAATGGTGCCGTGCGTGTGCAGAGCAACTGGAGAACCTGCGGTTCGTGCAGCACGCGCAGGACGCGCCGCTGGTGTCGCACTACAACTACATCGTGGTCGGCGGCGGCACGTCCGGGTGCCCGCTGGCGGCGACGCTGTCGGAGCACTCGCGGGTGCTCCTGCTGGAGCGCGGGGGCCTCCCCTACCGCAACATGTCGAACCAGGAGCACTTCACGGACGCGCTGGCCGACACGTCGCTGGCGTCCCCGGCCCAGCGGTTCATCTCCACGGACGGCGTGGTGAACGCGCGGGCGCGGGTGCTGGGCGGCGGGAGCTGCCTCAACGCCGGATTCTACACGCGGGCCAGCAACGAGTACGTGCGCACGGCCGGGTGGGACGCCGGCCTCGTGAACTCGTCGTATCGGTGGGTGGAGCGCGCGCTGGTGTTCCGCCCCGACGTGCCGCCGTGGCAGGCCGCGCTCCGGGACGCGCTGCTCGAGGCCGGCGTCACCCCCGACAACGGCTTCACCTTCGATCACGTCACGGGGACCAAGATCGGCGGCACCATCTTCGACAACAACGGGCAGCGCCACACGGCCGCCGACTTCCTCCGGCACGCCCGGCCCCGGGGGCTCACCGTCGTGCTCTACGCCACGGTGTCCCGGATCCTGTTCAGAAGCCAGGAGGGGGTGCCGTATCCGGTGGCGTACGGGGTGGTGTTCGCGGACCCGCTGGGGGTGCAGCACCGGGTGTACCTCCGGGACGGGGGGAAGAACGAGGTGATACTGTCGGCGGGGACGCTGGGGAGCCCGCAGCTGCTGATGCTGAGCGGCGTCGGCCCGCAGGCGCACCTCGAGGCACACGGCATCCAGGTGCTGGTGGACCAGCCCATGGTCGGGCAGGGCGTGGCCGACAACCCCATGAACTCGGTCTTCATCCCGTCGCCGGTGCCGGTGGGGCTCTCCCTGGTGCAGGTCGTCGGGATCACCAAGTCCGGCAGCTTCATCGAGGGCGTGAGCGGCTCCGAGTTCGGCATCCCGGTCTCCGACGGCGCCCGCCGCCTGGCCAGCTTCGGCCTCTTCTCCCCCCAGACCGGGCAGCTCGGCACGCTGCCGCCGGGGCAGAGGACGCCGGAGGCGCTGCAGCGCGCGGCGGAGGCGATGAGGCGGCTGGACAGGCGGGCGTTCCGGGGCGGGTTCATCCTGGAGAAGATCCTGGGGCCGGTGTCCACGGGCCACATCGAGCTGCGCAGCACCGACCCGCGCGCGAACCCGGCGGTGACGTTCAACTACTTCCAGGAGGCGGAGGACCTGGAGCGGTGCGTCCGGGGGATCCAGACGATCGAGCGGGTGATCCAGTCGCGCGCCTTCTCCAACTTCACCTACGCCAACACCACCGTCGAGTCCATCTTCACCGACTCGGCCAACTTCCCCGTCAACCTGCTGCCGCGGCACGTCAACGACTCCCGCTCGCCGGAGCAGTACTGCAGGGAGACCGTCATGACCATCTGGCACTACCACGGCGGATGCCACGTCGGCGCCGTCGTCGACGACAACTACCGGGTGTTCGGGGTGAGGGGGCTCAGGGTGATCGACAGCTCCACCTTCAGGTACTCCCCCGGCACCAACCCGCAGGCCACCGTCATGATGCTCGGCAGGTAAACGCAAGTCTGAAATGACCCTCGCAATTATACTGATCTGAATGAATGAATCAACTCAACTCAACTAACACAACTATGATAAATCTGTACAGGTATATGGGCATAAAGATTCAGGCCGAGAGATGGAGGAAATGATATTTCACGGAGCCAAATTTGCATGTAATTCATGGCATAATATTGTATTTGGGGGACCTGGTTTAGAACAGATTAATTTGGTTTTTCCACTTATTCTCTAGGCATAGTCTTTTAGTGCCTGTTTGTTGATTATTATGAAACCCATACATCCCTTTAACATGCATTTCTCTGCACTGTAAAATAAGAAGGAAAACTTATGTCCCAAAGGCATGATGGTGGTTCAAGCAACAATACTTCGGTAAAAAAATGGAACCGGTTGCCACATCCACCCACCAATTTCCATTGATGACAAGAGGAGCAAACCAAGGCCCAACATTGCTTCAGAATAGTGTGAAGGATGCATTTACAGTTTTGCACTAGAAACTTTGTTTCATCAAATTACATATAACATACTACTATTTCTCTTGGTGGTTGTCACTTGCTACAAACGCCAGGTTCCCTTCAGAGGGATCCAGCATGTAATCATCTTACATATACAGGGACCGAATACATGTAAAAGGAACATGATTAGTTAAGATGGGAACAACCAAAAGGCAGAAATGACTTGATTTTTTTTTCCTTGTTTCCAACTTGCCCTACTTGCCTGCTACCTACATATTGGCTTGCGAAATTCTCTCCCTACCTATGTTATCAGGAACCAGAAAGTGCTACTTCGGCATCTCTGTTGTCCATAATACCCAAGAAGTCACCAACAATTGCATGCTTGCATAAGCAGAATTCATATTGTGAGGTTTTCCTGGATGGCCGTGAAGGAGCCACAAATGTTTCCGCCCATGTCTGGGAATGTCGCACATCCTGGCAAGGGTTTCACCTTGCCTTTACGGTCAACACTTACAGGGTACTTGAGGAGGTGGCCTCTCATCTCAGTCACCTCATTTGCAAAGAACTGATCCCAGTTATGTTGCCCGAGTTGACGAACCCGCCTCATGCACTCTAGGCTCTCTGGATGGTTAAAGTCTTCCTCGATAATTCCAATATGCTCAGCCCAGAGGGACATTCTGTAGCCATAAATCTACATAAAAAATCACCAAACTTGATTTAGAGTATAATCCAGAAATACCAGCTGCGTCATAAGTCATAACTAGATTATTACCCTAAGAGATGAGATAATATACCCAGACAACCTTTTTCACTGCTGTTTTAGAATGCACATATTAGTATTTAATTCACATAAGAACTGTACTTGTAGAATTGCCACCAACAGTATGTATGTGTCATTACGTGTCTATAGTTTAGTGTATATATAATTAAAAAAAGGTAAATGTTAAATGGGCGTAGTTGGAGGCAGTCTCTCTGAAAACGTAAAAAATAAGTAAGGTGAAACAATTGTAATGAAGCAGTGGTTCTAAGCAACGCATAACATCAGGAAGACAAGTACAAAATCTGCAGGCACAATCTCAAAATGCAAGCTCATGAAAACACCTGTCTTCTGCAGGTACCAAAAAATGTAATTCAGCAGCTTGAACTTGAAACATGAGGCATTACCTGTCCACGGGGAGCAGAAATTTTATTTGCCCATGTATACTGTGGTTGATATGCTCCCATTGCAATCTCAGTATCTCTGATCCCTTCCATCGACCTCTGGTTGATATTAGCTGATCCAATGATCACATATTCATCATCTACGATCATACCTTTTGAATGTACATAAACCATGAATCTCCTATTTTTCCTAGCTTGATCCTGAATAGCAAGTAAAGTTAAGTTTCATGTCCCAACAACTAGTACATCAAATAACTAGTGAAAATTCAAATACTGCGATAAGTTCAAACTATCCCCACAAAAAATGTAAAATTTTGGCAGAGCATCAACATAACTCGCGAAATCGCTTCAATTGTTCATCCAAAGGCCTGTCTTAAGCAAGAGTGCTCAAGTAGCCTCTGACAGAAAAACTCAGATGTATGCATTGGCCATTTGGTCTACATGTATGACCAAAAGAACAAGACCTTCTATCAAGTTACTTTTAAGAACTAGGGATATGACCGTCATTCATCTGCAAAGAGCCAGTGGCAGAAAGAAACTGACACTTTGATGCTGTGGTGCATCATGCATCATAAAGGCTACCAGAATCATGTCAATATTTTACCAAGAATAACAGAAACTCGGTTCATGCTAAGGTCACATAAGCTCAACATGTCATGACTACTCTCTTTACTATCATGATTGAAAGCTAAACCAGTTCAAACTTACTGGAACAAACCAAAACTGCACGTTAGAGCCAGCATAGCGTGTCAAAACTTCAAAGAAAAACAAGAGAGAAATTCACACCTGAGGATTATTTGCAGTACTTGGAGTACTAGGGCTGTCCCCAATTTCACGATTGCCAAGACAAAAGAAGTTCAAGTAATCCTGAGGCTCATATATATCATCCAGACCTACTTCTTTCAAGGCCCTATATATTGTCTCATACATCATTTGCATTGTTTTGTTCTACAATATAAGAGAAAGACAAAACAAGTGATTACGCAATATAAACAGACTGGGTATGCTCCACCAGAACAAATTAGGAAGAAACAGGGTGCTTAATCGAACCTGCCAGTAAAGAATTCTTTGTGTAGGAGCACCAGTTGGATTACCCTCGGGCCACATTGGAACTACTATGTATGTGGAAAACCTCTCTTTTGCCTTAATCTTGTTTGCAATTTTGAGAGCAATTTCAATTGGTACCAAATTGTTAGCCCCTGACAGACAACAATTTTACCATCATGAGTTGGGATCAATCAAAGAATTTGGTATATTCTGCATTTTCATTAGATGGACACAGAATCAAGGAACTGTATCAGAAATGAATACAACTGGACTGTGCACTAATATCCTTCTAAGGATGGGTGTCTGTTCATTAGTCAGATCATACAAAAGAAGAAACAGAGAACTCTAGAACATGCTTACCAATATCTTTGTTCGAATCCCAATTAAATGAAGAACCGATGAAGTATTGGTTCTCAATGTAAATAAAGTGTTGGGCTGCCCTAATGGCATTCACATAAGCTGTATGTATGCTCATATCAATTAGTACATTCTTCCCACAGACAAGATTCTGTTAGCCAAAATAAAAGTGTTAGTCAGCCGCACAAACTGTAGAATATAATGTCATGTTGTGTTTTGGTTTATCAGTTACCTTCATGGTTGCTACTCGTGGGTCCTTTGGAAATCCCTTGGCAGAGTTTGAGTCAATAGAGCGAAACACCTAATTTTTAAAGTAAAAAGAGACTAAGAGAGTTGAATGCCTGAGACAAAACAAGAAGGAAAACACTTTGAATCTCCCATTACAGAAAACTGTAAATACCTGAACATGCCATGTCTCTGGGTCATTGTCGCTAAAATAAATTGCATCAGCAATGTTTACAATATCATGTATCCTTTCAATCTTGAGAAGTGCATCATCGTTTGATTTTCCCAACTTCTTAATCCCATGGCGTTTGGATGCCTTCAACCAACGCTCCTCAAAGTTCTTCAGAACATCATAAGCTGCTGGACCGTCGATCCTGGAATGCAAGTCATGCCATGGTTCCCTTGGGCCACTGGCATCAACTGCCTGCAAGCAGATGACAAGGACAAATACTTTCAGAGCAGTGACAAAAATAAACTGAGAATATGGTGACATGCAACTATTATTCCTAGTACAAGATGATCTCCTTCTGATGACTAAGAACCAAACATCACAAAAGGTTCCTACTCCTCAAAACTAAGACTATGGTAACTGTTACTCAGTACATGAGAAACTGAACCAACACACAAATATATGTCTTTCTAAACAATCTGCTTCAAGACACAAGTATATGATAAGGAATCGGAAACTTACAGCAAAGTTTGGATTGTAATAATCTTCCTTGTGTGAAGTTTGAAGAGTCTGAAACAGAGGATGCCCAGGTGTATCATAGCGCCCACCACACAAATCAAGACCTCCGACAAAAGCAATTATTTTTCTCCTATAATTGCCGGCATCAGCATCCACAATAACTGTTTTCTGATGATGAGTAAAAATGGTTCCTGTTTCCTGGTTTTCATGACCTTCATATGTTAAACAAATGGCACTAATGATTGGTACTTCCTCTGTCCCATAATATAAGAACGTTTTTGACACTAGTGTAGTTTTAAAAACGTTCTTATATTATGGGACGGAGGGAGTACAATACAATACTTGATATAACATAGAACTGCATTTTGTGATTAGATATATTATATTTATTTTACTGGCCAAACAGTGAACCTATTCAGAAGTATATAACACAACAGCATAATGTATCATATAACATCCAAGGATACATAAGTCATGGTTGGTAGATAAATGAAACCATTCACATTCAGTACGTGCAGTGAACATATAGTTTCAGTGAAACAAATTATCTATTATAATGGATAAGTTGTGGGCCATCGCGGCACGGATAACCTGCTGTTTCACCCAGCTGTGACGCTTCCCAGCAGATCTTGGGCAAAGCAATACTTGAACTGAAGAGTGCTTGAAAAACCGACGTGTTTCCTCATCTCGCGTGCCCATGAAACCATCCTACAAGTACATCAATTCCCAAAATCAGGAATGGGGCCAGACATTGAACATGCATCTAACGAAAATAACATAGAAAATACAGACAGTAGTTTCAGGAATATCCTCTCGATATTGTTTATATGACAAGTAGATATTTTAGTAACTCCTTTACTTGATAACATTAGATATGATGGTATGTTTACAGCAACAAACATATATGGGCTGTGCCATCCTTTAATAAGGTGAGCATCTAAACATTTGAAAAGACATAACAATGTTGTTCTATAAATTATCAGTTTGAATGCAAGATATGTTGTTCGTGTAGTGTCCCTCAAAAAAAAAGTTCTTCATGTAGTGTAAAGACCTCGAGACAGCAGTTTGGACTCTATGAATAATTCATACCATCTTAAAGCCGAGAATACTCCTTGATGTTGGATCATCCCATACAAGAAGCAATACCCTAACGCCTTCCTGCGATTTCATCTTCAACAGGTCCCCAAGTGATGGTGCCTTCTCAGCTCCATCCCTTATGAGGTCGATCGTGTGGAACACTGACCAACCCACAATGTAAATCAACCGCCGCGCCTGGCTTATGGCATTGTACATGTCACGCCAGCATTGCCCGTGTTGGTAGCGCAATCCATGATCAAGCCAGATATCTGGGAGAGAACCATCGGGCACATGTGCATCCTGATAGAGGGTCACCCTCATGCCACGGCGCAGCGGGAAGTAAGTATTGGGCACTCCAAGGCAGTCCGGACCAGCAATGACACCATGGTGGTACATTGTAAGGCGAGCCACTGGGATGTACTGAATAGAGAGCTGTAATACAGCACCAGGAGCGCATGGCTTGCCATTGGGCTCTAGCACTGGGTAGACGCCCTCAATCCTATCCCCAGAAAGAAGATTCTCGGCAGGGATGGCCACAGTTCCAATGAGCTGAGCTCCAAAGACATCGCTGTCCTTGACGACGAACTCAACCTCAGCGGCCTCATGGCCAACAGGCACATTGAAGTTCTGCGCCCAAACGGGGTTCTCACTATTGGAAACGACGTAGGTGCGAGCGACGGTGGCATAGGAGACCTGGATGGTGACGTAGGGGTCGCTTGTCATTTTAGCATTGGACTTGCCGCCGACGGAGAGGAGCTCGCTGACCCTCTTGGAGAACATGTCCTTGTTGGGGAGGTTCTTGGCCTCGTGCACCCAAATGTCGAGGCTGCCATGGAGCAGCACCACTTTCAGCGACGCCCTCATGCTGCCATGCTGTGCACCTCCGGCGACGGTACCATACGGCACCATCTGCATCCCTCCACTGTTTGAAAAGGAGGCAGAAGGCGGCAGTACGGAGGGCGACGACACGGGAGCCTGCGTGTAGTCGTGGCGGGCGGAGAGGTGCATGTTGGCGAACCCATCGACGATGGGGTAGTGTGGTGCGGAGGCCGCGGGTGATTCGGGGGCCGAGGAATGGGGCTGGTGGTGGAAGCTGGAGCTAGGGGAGATCGCCGGACTCGGGTAGTAGGCCGCGGGGGATTCGGGGGCCGAGGGATGGGGCTGGTGGTGGAAGCTGGAGCTATGAGAGATCGCCGGACTCGGGTAGGAGGCCGCGGTGGAGTCGGGGGCCGAGGGATGGGGCTGGTGGTGGAAGCTGGAGCTGGGGGAGATCGCTGGACTCGGGTAGGAGGGGTGCGCCGGGCTCGGGTAGGAGGGGTACGCCGGGTAGGGGTCGTAACCGTACGGCGAGGGAGACGGCGGTGGGTACCCGTGCTGCTGCGAGTGCGGCGGGTACGCATGCTGCGGATGCGGAGGGTACGCCTGCTGCTGGTGCGGCGCCGGCGGCGGGTAGGGCTGGAGAGGGCCGGAGTGGTGCGCGAACTGCTGCTGCGGCGCGGGGGAGTAGGCCGGGAAGGAGGTCGAGGGAGCGAGGTAGGGGGATGCCGGCGCGGCGGACAGCGGCGGGTACTGCTGGTGCTGGTAGGGGTACGGGTAGGGCTCCGGCTGCGGATGCGGCGGGTACTGGTGGTACTGGTGCGGCGGCTGCCCCTGCCCCCCGTGGTTTCTTCCCTCCATTGCCGATCTCGCTGCGGATGTGTATCCCTAGATTGTTTTCCCCCAAATTGTTCGATCCGGCCCTCGCCGCCGCTCAGTCGTCGGTTTGACGAAGATGAGTGGGCGCGGCGAGGGGCGGCGGCCGCGGGGTGGCGTGCGTGAAAATGGTGGAGTCACGGGACCGGGGAAGGGGAAATGAGATCGAAATCGGGGACGGTCGTTGGGGTTGGCCGGGCCCGGGACGGCGGCCAAGGCCAACTGGGTTCCCCACGCCCGGCCGGATGTGGAATCTGACCAGTTCGCTCGCTCGATTCTGAACCGGCCCTCGCCTCGGTTCCAACGTTCGGGTTCTGTCCGTGCGGTGCGATGCTGCGTATACACGTGCGGCCCACCTGTCATGCTCCGCGGGACCCAACTCCGGAAGATAACGTGACGGGATGCGATTACGCCTTGTTTTGACTTCTTCTTTTTTTATTAGTTTTGGCTTTCTGATAATTTTATTAAAAAATTGAGGGGAATAATTTTATTAAATTAGTTAGTGCTGATGAACTCTTCTTCTAGCTGAAGTGCTCGTTCCCCTGAACCTGGCACGAATCTGTAGCTTTGGGATGAGGATTAAGCATTGTTTAGTGGAGCCGTGGAGCCGGATCAGAATCAATTTCTCCTATACTGACCACTGCATCCGCATCCCAAAGCTCGTGGATCAGACGTCAAAAGCGTGCTATATTTCAGTTCGTTTATTTTCTCTTAATTTCATCTCCTGAGCATTTTTAATAAGAAATTGCGTTTAGCATTTCTAGCCACATCCATGGTCGCCACAGGGTGTGCGATGACAACTCTAAATATAGGAGCATTTTGTTTAGCTTAGCATTTCACAATAATTGCAGCGGTGGTGCTATTTCCTTTTTATCTTCAACACCTATTATCACATCCCTTGGCTATGCTCTCAGGGAGATGACAATTCAGGCAACCAGTACACAAGAGGCAACTTTCATGCATCGCGTGGTCTTGCATCCTTCCGCGACATTCAATGGATGCCAGTTATGGGCAACAACATTTTCTTTGCATGTGCCATAAAATTTCTCCTCCTCGTGTCTTAGGGTGCGTTTGGTTACAAGGGTGGTCATGAATGGATTGGGATCGTTCAAAAAATAGACATGTTTGGTTATAAAGCACATGAATGGTTCAAGTCAAAAAAAAAGAGAATATGCCTTGAAGATGCTGAACCGTTCCACCCAACCAAATCGGTCGAATCAAATGGCCACGCTTTGCATGCGTGACTATGTGAGCATGACTGATGGCCCCGTCCTAAATAATTAGCTCATCTCTTATATTCAGCCAAACACATGAATTGAATGGTTCAATCCCAAATAAATTGGACGGTCCCAACCCATTCATATGACACCTTCAACCAAACGCATCCTTACTGGCTAAGAAATTGCCTTTTTTTTTGGACAAGCTAAGAAATTGCCTTACTAGCTAAGAAATGCATGCGCACAGGTCCGTTGAAAGGCCTATGCGAGTTGTGCGCTCGCACATGGCCTTCAAAATCCGGGGGGCCCAAATAGGGTCCATATACTATATGTATTGGTCTAAAAAGAAATAGTTTTGCGCCAACGTTTACTCTGTCGGTGAAGCACTTTCTTTTGGGCTTGGTCCGCTCAATCCATAGGCGTCTATGTTGCCTCTTGTCGCCTGGATCAATCTGATTGATGACCCTAAAGAAAATCTTTTTTTTCAAGAACATGCAGGAGCGATGCATGTCTTTTCAATTAAGAAGAAGGGGAATGCAGTTTACATGGTGATTACACCGCAATGGCCGCCTCGCAGGCCCAGCGATCGGGCATGCGCTAGGTCCTAGTGAATTTGGAAGGGAGGTCGCCCTCTACCCTAGTCTGAGTCCACAGGCGGAGCTCGGCTCTAATGAGATTTATAGTGGAGTTCGGCGGAGAGCTCTTGCGCTCGAAGACACGATTGTTACGTTCGAGCCAGATGAATTGGAGTGTGGCCATGACTGTGGTATTCATCTGTCTGTAGAGCCTAGCTGTTCGTGCCTCCGCCAGTTGTGGCCACCAGTCCGCTAGCCTCTTCGTGTCGTCCTGTGTGAAGCGATGTAGGCCCATAGGCAGCAGTATGTTGTACCAAACCTCGCGCGAGTACGAACAACCTAGGAGCATGTGCGAGGTGTCTTCGTCCTTCTTGAGGCATAGTTGGCATATCCGAGTGGGCGGCAGGTTCCGCCGGGCGAGTCTATCGGCCGTCCGTAGCCCCTCCCGCACCGCGAGCCAGGAGAAGATTTTTATCTCCAGGGGGCCAAGAGCGCCTGATCTCCTCAGCGCAAGGCGCGAACTCCCTCCCGAAGAAGAAAGCGGCGTAAGTGTCGCGGAAGGAGTACCGTCCAGCCGTGCCAAGTCGCCAGGAGAAGGCATCGGGAGAGTCTGAAAAGATCACCGCCCGCACCTCCTCCCAGACCAGGAGGAATTCAGCAATTGCCGGAACTGTTGGCGTGCCACGGATCGCGTCCACCCACGCGTGACCTTGCAGCGCGTCAGCCACCGTCAGGTTACGACCCGTAGGCTGGACATGCGCCAACAAGTTGGGCCCTGCTGCGCAAGAGGGCGGCCATCTTCCCACGGATCGAACCAGAAGCCGGTGTTGCACCCGTCCCCAAGGACACACCAGAGCGCTGCGTTGCCCAGCCTTGCGGCCTCCACCGAGACGGCGACATTCAGACCGTTCCAGGGCTTGTCCATGACCGTCTTCTGTAGCCATAGCCAGCGCAGCGCAGCGCTTGGTTGAGCAGCCTCGGGTTTAGAACTCCCAGGCCACCATAGGGTTTAGGCAAACAGATGATATGCCATGCCACGAGGCAACAACCCCCTTTTGCATCCTCCACCCCACGCCAGAAGAAGCCTCTCTGAAGCTTGTCAATGCACTTGAAAAACCATGGCGGCAGGTCGAGGGCCATTAAGTGGAAGATTGGCATCGCCCAGAGCCTGCAGTTCACGAGTGTGAGTCTGCCGGCCCGACGAAGTAGGGCCGCTTTCCAGGTTGGCAATTGCTCCGCGATCCAATCTATGAGGGGTTGCAGCTCCGTGCGGGTAAGGGCCCGTAGGGATATAGGTAGGCCGAGGTAGGTAATAGGCAATGCTTGGACGCTGCAGCTGGCCACCGCGAGAAGCTCCTGAATGTCTTCCTCCTAGCAACGGATCATGGAGATTGAACTTTTTGTGAAATTGCACTGTAGCCCCGTGGCCTCTCCAAAGCACTCAAGAAGCTGCTTGACCACATCCATCTCGGCCACTAGCAGACTGAGGAGCAGGATAGCATCGTCAGCGTACAAGGAGAGGCGATGATGAATGTCGCGAGCGCGAAATGGAGCAAAGAGGCCCACCTCCTCCGCCTTCTTGAACATCGCCGTGAGGACGTCCATCACGATGATAAAAAGTAGGGGGAGATGGGGTCACCCTGCCACAGCCCCTTGCCGTGCCAAAAGCTCTCGCTTGTTGTCCCGTTGACGAGAACCTACGTGCTTGCCGTTGACAGGAGTGTGGAGATTCGATGTCTCCACCGAGGGGCCAAATCCATGATGAATCAATACTTCCAGGAGGAATTGCCATGAGACGCTATCGAATGCTTTTGCAATATCGATCTTGAAAATGAAAGGTGGCACCCGCTTGCGATGGAGCATGCGGACAGATTGCTGCACCAACATGAAGTTGTCTAGAATAGACTGGCCCGCAATGAAAGCGCTCTGGTTTTGGTCCACCAGCTTCAGAATCCGCGGCGCGAGCTCTGCAGACATAGCCTTCGCAACAATCTTAGCAAAGCCATGGATGAGACTAATCGGCCTAAAATCTTTGATGTCCAGTGCACCCTCCTTCTTTGGCAGCAGTACGATGAATACCTCATTCAACCTTTCCATACCTCTGTCGTCTGCCCCGTCAAGTGCGAGCATCGCCTTCATTCCCACATCTTTGATGATAGACTAGCAGGACTGATAGAACCTCGTCGTGAACCCATCGGTCCCTGGAGCCTTGTCTGGCTGCATTCCTTTGATTGTGTTCCATATTACTTCTTCGGTGAGCGGGGCCTCGAGAGCCGATGTGTTGACCTCCGTGAGCCTGAGCGACGGCAAGCACAGCGTGTGCTGTCTCCCCACTAGGACTCCCAACAGATTTGTGTAGTATCCACCCGCCAGCGCACACATGCTCTCCCGAGTGGTCGCCTCAGAGCCGTTGTTTCTCAGTTTGAATATGTGGTTTCTCCTCCGCCGGTGGCTGGCGAAGATCTTGAAGAATGTCTCATTGGCGTCGCCTGCCTTCAGCCACGAGATACGAGATTTCTGCCTGGCAATCGTCCTTTGAAGGGAGGCCAGGCCAAGCACTTTCTTCTTTAGCTGCCGATGCAACCATGCCTCCCCCCCCCCCGATAGTGATCTGGTGTCCATCGCCTGATCAAAACACAAAATGAGCTCATTTGCTAGCAGGATCTTTTCCTTGATGTTACCGACCTTGGACTGGCTCCACTTGGTCAGCGCTTTGGCAGTGGCTTTCAACCATAAAAAAAGGTCAACAAAGGGATTGGCCTTCGGGGGGAGGGAGTTCCAGCTCGTGGTCACCACCTCATGAAGCCGGGGATGGACGACCAATAGCTTTGGACGTGAAAGCGGGATTTGCGATGGAAGGAGACGTTGGTGGCCATGAGCAGTGGGAGTGATCTGAGATGGATGATAACAATGCCTGCAACAGGTGATTCGGATGGCCCACATCCCAGTCTGCCGTGGAGAACCAGCGGTCAATCTTTTCGAGGGTGGGCTGACTTCTCTCGTTGCTCCAGGTATATCTCCACCCAATGAGGCAGGCTTCCTTGAGATCCAAGTCATTCAAAAGGCGGCAAAATCGGCCCATCATGCGTCTGTTTAACAGGTTGTTGTTCTTGTCTGCCGCGTCGATGATGAGATTAAAATCCCCCGCCACCGGCCAAGGATTGGCGCGGGCCGCAAGAATCGCACGGAGCTC